CCGCGAGCGCAGCAGCCTTTGCCTGCCGCCCGCCCTCCTTTACCTCCTCGGCTGCCTCGCTCACTTTTCCCGGGGCCCTCTTCCAAACATCCAGAGGACAAATCATTGCAGCTCAGAGGAGCTGTCGTTCCGTGAAGTTCTGCCTGAGTTTTGCGGGCCAAGTTGTTTTTCCTTTCCGTATTTTTTTTTTTTGACGCACATCCTCATAAACCCGCCCCCACCTTACCCCTGATGTGTACACACACACACACACACACACACACACACGTTTCTCTGTATAACCACTAAGCCAAACAGCTGGGAAGAAGCAATCAAACACTGCTTTATCTTTATAAAACACAGAAATTGCCTACTAAAAATCCCATTTCTGCTTTGAATGAAAGCCATTCGGTACAGTATAATTTTGCGGGCTAATGAGCCGGGTTTACAGGCCAGTGTTTCGCGTAATATGTTGTGGGAGAGATGAACATGTCCTTGAAGTGACATCATTTACAATTAACTGTCACAAATGAGAGAGAAGTCGTCTCTTCCCAAACAAGCGGATTTTCCTCTAACATTCATTTCTGAGAACGGCTGTGTTTTATTAATTTGCGTTGGATTGTGCATCACTGAGGACTCTCAATGGTTGGGAAGAACCACATGGCCCTAGTGAAAGAAAAAGAGAGAAGGGCCGGTTTGGGGTTGTTTGTGTTGTTCTTTTTCTGCCAAACTTTTAATTTTCCTTTGCGTAAGGTTAGTGACTGTGAAAGAGACGAAGGGGACACAGGAAGGATTTTTCCTTCCTCAATGGCTTCTGCTTCCCCCAAACACAAAGTTACATGTTTACATTTAGTGGGGGAAATACCGTGTCTCGGTGTTGGTTCTGAAACTTCCACTTGACAGCCTGGAAAAGCAACCCCGCAGAACTGCCGCTGGGCTCCCACAGAGAGCAGCTTCCTCACTAGTTAAAGCGCTGTTACCAATAGGAAGGGGTGGGGGCTCAGGGGTGGCTTTGAATACATCCACTCTTCCTGTATTAGAAGGCAGGGGTAGGGGGCGGGCGCAGAAACACACTCGCACAGCTCAGTGGTTTTTCCCCCTGCTGTTGTGAAGTCTTTTGTTGGCTGGTTGTTGCGGATGCTCTCTCATTGTGCTGGGCTTCGACATCACTGCCAGTTCCTTGGCAGTCAGGGCCCTTCCCCAGCCAACTTCTGACCTGGACCCAGAAAGTGGTGCCTGTTTCACTGGCTCCCAGTCATGCTGTCTTTTCTCCTTCAAAGGAGCATGCTTCTCTCCAGGCAAAGGGCCCGGAGCAAGATCCCCAAATGCAAGGAGGCCACCACTGGTTTGATCAGGAATCACATGACCCTGCCCCACCGAAGGCAGAACATTTATTGATTAAGTCACATGTCTGCAGTAGTCGTGCTCCAGAATCCATGGCTGAACCACCCACAATCACCAACTCTATGGAGCACAGCCTGGGAAAAAAGTGTGCTCTCCACTGCGTGGGTCTGAGTTCTTATATCGAGGTGTAGCATACTTTTGGTGACTTTAGAATATCCCAGGAGATAGGCTTCAGCTAGAAATTAGACTTGTTTCCAATCTACGGGATTGTCTAGGACTTGGAGACAACCCCTATGTTTGGTTCACTGCTCTGTTTCGCCGAAAGTAAGACATCACCCGAAAATAAGACCCACTTACAGTTTTGCCTCTCGCTGAAATATACAGCATCCCCCTGAAAATAAGACCTCCCTGAAAACAAGGCCCCCGAAGCTACCGTAACTCTGGACTGTGGATCTTAGCGGCACGCGCGCAGCTCACTGTTGGCCGCAGTGCAGCCGGAGCAGACAATAATACAACAATAAACAATAAATGTGTACTGTATTCTTCTTCATGGAAAAATAAGACATCTCCTGAAAATAAGACCTAGCACATCTTTGGGAGCAAAAATTAATATAAGACACTGTCTTATTTTTTAGGAAACAGGGTAGAATAATAGAGGGAAGTGGAGATTCCGTTGACGTGGAAAGAAAGTTACTGATTCATTCAAATTAAAGAGCCATTGTTCTTCTAGTTCCTGGATCTTGATCGTGGGAGCCATGGCTCATTTTCTTTGGGTTTCAGTGAAAATACGTTTAAGGAAACTTCACATCATGTACACGTAGACTAATGTGGCTGCATCTGGTCCTATCCATTGCTTTTGCACACTTTTAATCTTGGAACCTGGTTTATGTTTCTGGACCCAGCCAGGCTTCCTTGGCACTTTATGACAGACTGTAGCTAACTGGAGGAGTTGCCATGGCGTAGTGGACACATCGGACCCTGATCCTTGAGGTCAGTTTGAAACCACCAGCAGCTCCTCGAAAGAAAAACAGGACTTTTTACTCGGAAGCTCACTGGGCAGTTCTACCCCATCATCGGTCCCGATGAGCTGGTTTGCACTTGAGGGTACTGGGTTGGCATTCGTTTGTTTGTTTGTTTTGTATAGCTAGCTGGCAGTTGCCCAGGGCCACGGGTTTTATAACTCCAGACGTCTCCCATACTTTCATGTAGGATCATTTCTATGCTTTCTGGCTTTTTCAAAAAGAGTTTGTGGAAGTGTCAAAATATCACTGATTCTCCTACTTGCCAAAGGAACCCGTGGCTCTGTTGAGGTAAACGTTGGATTGCTAGCATCCCAGGGCCTGCTCCGTGGGAGAGAGCTAATACAACAGCTACCATAAATACTTACAGCATTGGAGACTATCCGTATGGTTTCGAAGAGTCAGAATCAACTGGACAGTAGTGGGTTTTTCATTTGTTTGTTTGTGTTTACTAGTTCCCAGGACAGGATTTATGTGTGTGTTAAGGAATAATTTATTATTTTTAAAGGTACAATTATGGTATTGCAGTTATGGTCTTTTAAAAAAATAATTTTATTAGGGGCTCATACAGCTCTTATCACAATCCATACATATATCCATTGTCTCAAGCACATTTGCATATTTGATGCCATCTCCATGTTCAAAACATTTTCTTTCTACTTGAACCCTTGGTATCAGTTCCTCCTTGTTTTTCCCCTTCCCACCTCCTTTGCTCCTGAACCCTTAATTTATAAATAATAATTTATAAGTTTTCTTCTTTTTTTTCCATGTCTTACACTGACCGATGTCTCCCTTCACCCACTTTTCTGTTGCCCAGGACAGGATTAAAGACCAAGTTTCCGTGCTACCCGAACAAGTTCACTTAGGGCAATTAAAAATGGAAGTCAAGTTTGCTGTGTAGATGTCTGCCCCATGAATGCTTCGAATGAGCAGGGATCTTGTTTTATTTGCGTGGGCATTCCCAATGTCTAGTGTACATAGTCACTGGCTTAATCCTTGTTGGATAGATAAGTTCATACAGACCACTGCTTTCTGATACTCTCCTCTACGGCAATTCAGAGTGCATAGATGGT